TAGACTCAATTTGCACTATTTCTGGCAGTCTGCAAAGGCCCATAGTAAGCATGCAAAAGGATAAGTGATTGGTGGTTTACTGAATCTGTTTTTAGCTGCTCTCTCAGGTGATAATGCCCATGGTCAACATTTTAGGTAAGTTATTTAAAGTTACGTTAAAATCCCAGAGCAGATTCACAGCCCCAATGAAATGGGACTCCTCAACTATCACTGTACAGAGGTAGCCCTGTATGTGACTGAGAGATGGACATTAAAGGCTGCCTCGTTCTTTCTTTCTTTCTTTCTTTCTTTCTTTCTTTCTTTCTTTCTTTCTTCTCTTTCTCACACAGTTTGCCATGGAAACCGAGAGCAGAACGATACTAGAAGGATGTGCTAATAAATTTCCCCACTTTATTGGCATGTGAGACTATTGAGAGACGGGATAGCAATTAGGGGAAAGTGAACTAGTCTCCTCTACACATACACACACATTTTTCCTCCATCCTGCTCCTGGTTACCGGTACATTCATGGATATGTCCTGAATCCCCCTCCCGAGTTACCTCAGTGCTCTGGAGCAATGCCAAGTGGCTATTTATACAGTCTTCTGCCATGCCATCCACCACCAGCAGCATGAGTTGCTCCTGTGAGATTGAAAATGAGACGCCTACTGTTGATCATGTGGCTGGATGCCTGGTTGTGACTCGAGAGAGAGCAATTTGCACCAGTGGTGCCAGTGGTGAATGGCACAGTGGGATACTTTAAACAGCCTCCCAGCATCACTCTGAAGTGCTCTGGATTTTCCTGGAGGATTTGGAGCAAATGTTGATTTTTAAAAACTGGATCAAGGCAGGGATGGCCTGGATTCGGTGCAGAACTGACCTTCCCATGTGAAAATAGTCTTTGGCCCTGGCTCATGTGAGATAAGGGGTGGGAATGATGTAAATAGCCCAAATCTTCTGGCTCTGAGCAACCTGTTTCTCCAGTGTCTTCCTTCCTTCATGGCTGCAGTGCCTGTGGTCTTTTCCCTCTGGCCACTTTCATCTATGTCAGTGTGATGTATCAACAGGATCCTGTCCTGACCATTGATTCCAAGGCCACAGAGCCCTAGCCTGCCTTTAGTGGAACAGCAGAGAGGCAGCCATGCAGCAGGTTTATCTGCTGTTTCTAGGCCTTGTAAAAGCATGCTGACACATCAACACTCTGGAAGACAGAAGGTGGTGAGCTGTTAAACATGCAGATAGATCTAAGATGAAAATTTGGATTGGTATTAGAGAAATTAAGATCAAAAGTCTCTTCCTCAAGGTAAAGGCAGACAGTTCAGTAGAAGACCACAGTGTTGCACACAGAAGATCTCAGATACCCAGGATCTACAGAAAAGGCTAGGGAGGTCTCCCATCTGAAACTCTGGAGAGCCACTGCATCTCAGTGAGTAGACAATATTGAACTACATGGACCAATGATCTAGCTCAGGCAGCTTCCTATGGCCCTCTGTGGGATTTAGAGGTGGCACTAGGGATGGTCCTCTCCTGCATAAAAAATTCCCAGGTGTGGGAATCATTCAGCCCTCCAGCATAACCAGTAATAAGAAATCCTAACAATTGCAGTCCAACAGCATGCTTCTCATCCCTGCTTTATTGGTCTCTCTTAGCTTCTGATAAACAATTCTAAAGGAACAAATAGATTTGCAGGAATGTGACTGTGCTCTTTAATGAAAGAAGCAAAATGACATGTGGACACAAGCCACATGGAAGGGGAAGAAAGTAAAAGTATCAGCATGACAGTCATTAGGAAGATAACTACACTTCTGTTATTTAGAGAAATCTGGATCTGCTGGCCAAATTTCTACATAAGCACAGAGTAAATATCCACTCGTAGAATTACAAGGGGGTATTGTAAAGTTTTAATTATCACCTTTAAAAAAATTGACAGAATGTTTGTTTTGATTTGTAGTTGTTTACTTATCTCTACATCATCCAGATTTATACATTTTCCCCAGTGTTT